CATCTCGGATACTATATTGCAGCTTAGAGTTTTTTTTTTTATATATATATATATATATATATATATATATATATATATATATATATATATATATTACTGTTGTTTGTTCGCTGAGGAAGGCTTCTTGCCGACATGTTCCTTGTTATATTTTTGCGTAATTTTTAGCAGGTTCCCCATACTTTTTTTTCCACTTATTTTGTTTCTACCTAACCTGATTGCAGAAAGCCACACCCCCATTCCACACACACACTTATAATCACTTTAAATTTAATAAGGCAACCTGTGCGTCACGTGTGTCTCAAAGGTTCAAAAGTGTGTCTCAAAGTTTCACAAGTGTGTCTCAAAGGTTCACAAGTGTGTCTCAAAGGTTCACAAGTGTGTCTCAAAGTTTCACAAGTGTGTCTCAAAGAGTTTGATGCAAATTAATAAAGATTCAGGTAAAACAATTAATATGTGTAGACGAAACCCCCGGATGTCAGCCATGTCAAGGGGGACAAAACTCCCGTATGTCAGCCATATGAAGGGTGACAAATTTCCTAGATGTCAGCCATATGAAGGGTGACAAAGTTCCTGGATGTCAGCCATATGAAGGGTGACAAATTTCGTGGATGTCAGCCATATGAATGGTGACAAATTTCCTGGATGTCAGCCATATGAAGGGTGACAAATTTCCTAGATGTCAGCCATATGAAGGGTGACAAATTTCGTGGATGTCAGCCATATGAAGGGTGACAAATTTCCTGGATGTCAGCCATATGAAGGGTGACAAATTTCCTAGATGTCAGCCATATGAAGAGTGACAAATTTCCTGGATGTCAGCCATATGAAGGGTGACAAAGTTCCTGGATGTCAGCCATATGAAGGGTTTAGGGGGGGGGGGAAACACCCGGATGTCAACCATTTGAAGGGGGACAAAACTCCAGGATGTCAGCCATTTAAAGGGGGACAAAACTCCCGGACATCAGACATGCGAAGGGGTTTAGGGGGATCAAAACTCCCGGATGTCAGCGACGATGTGAAGGGTTTAGGGTGTTGAAAAGTCCCATATTTCAGCCATTTGAAGGGAGACAAAGGTCCCAGATTTCAGCCATTTGAAGGGAGACAAAGGTCCCAGATTTCAGCCATTTGAAGGGAGACAAAGGTCCCAGATTTCAGCCATTTGAAGGGAGACAAAGGTCCCAGATTTCAGCCATTTGAAGGGAGACAAAGGTCCCAGATTTCAGCCATTTGAAGGGAGACAAAGGTCCCAGATTTCAGCCATTTGAAGGGAGACAAAGGTCCCAGATTTCAGCCATTTGAAGGGAGACANTTTTTTTTTTTTTTTTTATGCAAGATATTTATTGAAAATATTTGCAACAAGGGTCTAATAACTGTGGAATTCATTCTATTGACACTCTACAGGGCTAGTAGTTCCCCCTTACATCGCCGTGGTGAGAATGACTCGACGCGAGGGACAGAGTTCGATCATTGTTATTGTAACGAAATTATAACATGCAATTTATATTTTCTTTATCTCTCTCTCTCTCTCTCTCTCTCTCTATCTCTCTCTCTCTCTCTCTCTCTCTCTCTCTCTGTAAGTAGACTCACCCATAAAATCGACCGTTGAGTCTCTGCAGGGGATTTGAGGTGGCAGATACCTTTCTCCGCGTGCCGCAGGTCGGGTTGGACGATCGTTTCCGGATCAGGGACACGGAGTCTTTCCTCTTGTGTCCAGGGAAGCTTTCCATGACCTGGATCCTTTCGTACAGAGATGGGTCGGAGCAGCTGGTGGAGAGCCTGTTGGCGAACGTGGAGCTTCAGATGCCATCATTTTAGACAGAAACTTTTAATAAAAGGGTATAGTCAAACTAGCGTTAAATCTGATATCCTCAGGGGCTAACCAGTGGCTTAGCTAGGGTCGGTGTCACCCGGTGCGGTAAACTCATCATGTCACTGACCCCTCTCCCCTATCCTCAGGGGCTAACCAGTGGCTTAGCTAGGGTCGGTGTCACCCGGTGCGGTAAACTCATCATGTCACTGACCCCCCCCATCCTCAGGGGCTAACCAGTGGCTTAGCTAGGGTCGGTGTCACCCGGTGCGGTAAACTCATCATGTCACTGACCCCCCCCCCTGACATCCACGGTGGTTTTCTTCTTGTTAAAATAAGTCCACGGTATAGCAATGACAATAACAATAAACAGATTAATTGAGGGCCAGGAGTTAATTAATGTATTTAAGAACTATATGTACTTAGAATCGCCCGACCACGTCGTATTTGGTATCAATGGAAAGATTTATTTCTCAGAATTTAGATAAATAATAGCTTCTTGTCACTTACGAAAGTTACCGAACACTTCAATCCACGTTGAATCATGATCAAAGCGGTGTTTTTTCTGACCTAATTATAGTGTCAACTCATTTCTGATGCATCAACCTTGAACTTTTAATATAGCACGCATCTGGATTGGTTACACGTGTGGACAATATAGGTGTGCTCGGTTATCCTTTTACGAAATTCGGTTTAAACCGAGCAGTTTGGGCTCTGCAAATATGCACACAAAAATTTCAAATTGATGTCACCCTTTAAGATGGTGTCACCCGGTCCGCACCCCACCCCCCTAACTACTCCACTGTGGCTACCATTTGTTTGAATGCTGCGGGAATTGTGGGGCGTTTGCTTGCGGGACAAGTTGACACGAAAATCTCTGTACCGCGGCGTTCAGTTGTGCAGAGCCGTTCTTAGGAGTTTGGGGGCCCTAAGCATGGAGCGTAGATTGGGGGCCCCGGAAGGGGAGGGGGTTGGTCCGGGGGTGGAGCTCCCTCGAGCTGAGGAGAAAACACCACCCACCACTGCGGCACCTCCATTCTGCCTTCATCAATGTTTCCTCTTTGCTCGTGTGTAACCACTAACCATATTGATAATTCCGCCACTAGAGAAAATGTGAACTTCTGAGATATATGGACATATATAGCGAGGGCGCCTCACGGGAGGCCTCCCTCACGTTCGGGGCCCTACGCGGATGCGTAGTCAGCGTATGCCTAAGAACGGGCCTGAGTTGCGGATAGCAGATTTCGATCTCTCCGAAGTCATTTTAAACTGCATCTCCGTACGACTGGACGAATTCGGTCAGCTGGTCAGACCAGTGAGATGATAGAATTCAATATGATGTGGTGGGTCGTCCGTTTACTTATTTCAAAGTATTTGACGTTGAAGACAAAGTGTTACACTTAAAATAGAGCCCTTGATGACCATAATATACATTTTCCGATTTTCTTATCACTAAAAGTATAAGTTCATAAAAAGGTTTAATCAAGCAACTGTTTGGGGCTGTATGCTCCAGTTTTCTTGTTGAGGAATGGTATACGCTGGATTAAAACTGATAAATAATATAAAAATAATGAAGTGCTTTGTAAAAATGTTCAACAAAAAAGTCAAGGGAAAAGAGTTACGGCTCAATTTTAAAATTACAATAATGTTAAAGCAGCGCTTAGCAACCTTTCTAACGCCACGACCCTTGAATACAGTTCCTCATGTTGTGGTGAAACCCCTCCCCCCACCCAACCATAACATTATTTTAGTTGCTACTTGATAAGTATGTGTTTAACGATGGTCTTCGGCGACCCTTGCATGTGTAAGGGTCGCGACCCATAGGTTGAGAACCGCTCTCTTAAAGCATAAAGCAGTGGAATAAAATTATTGCCACTGACATTCGATCAGGGTTGAATTATCCCTAGGGCCAGATTGGCAATGTCAAGATTGACAATGTGTCTAGGGCGGTCAAGGGTCAAGCCAATCGGACTTTTTGCTTAAGATGACTCCGGATAACAACGTCCGCTTTTCAAATGCAGTAATTTTAAAACAATAATATAATCACGTGACCCTTTGTTGGATGTGCTTGAATTAATCCAGACCTGCATTTGTAAGGGACATAGTTAGTGACGCAACTGGCACTGTAGGCCGGGGGGGGGGGGGGCGGGACTAGCTCTTGGGGTGGTCAAGGCCAATGTTTCCCAGGATCCCCCATATCTTTTAAGAACTGCAGTATAAACAACTAAATCTTTGTTGGATGTGCTTGAATTAATCCAGACCTGCATTTGTAAGGGACATAGTTAGTGACGCAACTGGCACTGTAGGCCGGGGGGGGGGGGGCAGGACTAGCTCTTGGGGTAGTCAAGGACAATGTATCCCAGGATCCCACATATCTTTTAAGAACTGCAGTATAAACAACTAAATAAATTAAAACATTTTTTTTTTAAACACTAACTTGGTAAAATTGGAAGCGTCGTAGCTTCCATGTTTCGTATCCACGCCAACGAATAACGTTTCCAAAGCAGCTGGAGATTGTGTACCTGGACGAGTAATTAAGTCATCGCCAGTAGACGTCGCCACTGATCTTTTCCGCGGCGCCTCATTGTGGCGGGTCGGTGAATGGTGATGAGGTGGCTCATCCCCGCTCGTTGATATTTCACTGGTCACACTCTGAGACGCCTCGCGCGTATTGGGAGCAGGAACATTATGTGAAGACTCCGCATTTCTGGAGACGGTGGACGTTTGCCCGTCACTGGTCTCTAGCGTAGACGAAGCGGCGTTAACCGTTTGAGGTGCGTGGCAGTTCCGAAGATGCACAGCAGCTGGTTCCAAGGCGAACGTCTTGACTTGAGTGAGCTCGTGGGTGAGAAAGGAGAGTTCAGCGCGAGGCGACTCGGGCTTAGACGGAGCATAGATTTGATTCGTGTGTGGTCGATGAGGAGAGATTGTGTCCTTTTGGACGTCGGAAGGTCCTCTACGCCTGTGTGCGCTATTGGCGGAGGCGTCGTGAATGGTTGAGATTAAGCTTTTACCTGTACGACTTCCAGGGAGTCTCGAGCGGTTGAGATTTGGTGATGCATTGGTAAGGGGATCGGAAGCGGAGCTTTTAGGCGGCTCAAGCGTGGGTAGAGTGGCGGTATTGCCACTAGACGCCTCAAACGTGGAAAGATAGGTGGTACGACCATTGGTCGCCTTACACGTGGAACGAGTGGCAGTGTGGCCGTTAGAAGCATCACACGTCGAACGAGTGGCAGTATGGCCATTAGACGCCTCACACGTGGAAAGATAGGTGGTACGACCATTGGTCGCCTTACACGTGGAACGAGTGGCAGTGTGGCCGTTAGAAGCATCACACGTCGAACGAGTGGCAGTATGGCCATTAGACGCCTCACACGTGGAGTGACTGGCGCTATGGCCGTTAAAAGCCTCAATATGCAAAAATTCTGGGAGAACTCCTCCCAAACATGGAAGCCTTAAAGAAGGTCCGGATCTGAGTGTATGATGAGGCATCTCCCCCTCTTTAGATTTACAGTCAAAATAATCATTACACAAGTTAAAGGAATTTTGTTGTTGTTTTATTGCTCACCAATATCTGATTGCATGGCGTTGAGTTCCTAGAAAGGCGTGACGCATGGTGTTCTTGTACAGCGCCAATATTATCTCAGTGACGCATGGTGTTCTTGTACAGCGCCAATATTATCTCAGTGACGCATGGTGTTCTTGTACAGCGCCAATATTATCTCAGTGACGCAT